AATAATATGCTAAGTGTCCGACGGTCTGACTGGTCACTATGATGCGCACTGACCACCAAGGGGAAGACGCTCAATGCAGGAGCTACCGTGATGCGCACATTTACAGAGAAATGGCACCATGGACCTGGCACCAACAAAGCAACACTCGGCTTCCCCCATGTGGGACACAGTACCCACTACCACCTGGGAGCAACACCCCACCAAATTGCAGCCAACACTGCCAAGACCCCATGGCACAAAATGTGGCCCTCAGAAATTGTCGCTGTGGGCACCGGGTAATGACGTTACATAGCAACGCCTGGCTTCCTCTCCCTAGCGACAGGCCATTTAACAATAAATGGCACTGCAGACCTGGTGCCCACAAAGCAACACTCAGCTTCTCCCAAGTCGGACACCGGCCCCGCCACCACCCTGGATTGACAGCTCACCAAATTGTAGCCAATGCTGCTGAGACCCCATGGTGTAAAATGTGGCCCACAGCCCAATCCATCCCGGAACGTTGGCTGTGGGTGCTGGGTACTGACATCATGTAGCAACGCTTGGCTTCCTCTCCCTAGCAACTAGCCTCCTTGGAGTTTATTCAGCTCAGGAACATGACTTACTTTAGAAATTGGGGTGCTTCACTGGGCTGGAAAAAGTTTAGCTACATCAGAAAGCAGGTCTAATTAAGCAAGTTTATTCTATATATACAAAAGGCTAAGTTGACTCACGCATGTGTGATACATATAAAGCTCTCGCTGGCGCCAATAGCACATGTGTGTTTCCATCTGTCATTTTCAATTGTGAATTTGGTTGACACTTCTATTACAGAAAGTGCAAATAGCGATATAAAAATATTTCTTCTAATTCATTTCCTTTCAATGTGCACGAATTCGTGCATTGGGCCTCTAGTTTAAGTATAAAATGCTATAATGTCTAAGATCTGCTTTAAAATAATCCAGAAGAGGGCTACAGATGCAACAAGATGTTAATTGCTGAAGCTGGGTAAGGGGTACATAAGGTTTTATTACATTATTCTCTATACTATTGTGCATGTTTAAACTTTTAATAAAGAATTTTTAAAAATTCAATGTATCTTACCACTGGGTAGTCGAAGAGAAGACCACACATCCTGAGCGCCCCAGTCTGCAGTGAGGGGAGGACAGCTGATAACTGGGTATGCAGTGTTACCAGACATCACTGGTCCTAAACCATTGCTTCTGCCTGCCACTGCCACAAAGACTGTAGGAATGCCATCCCCTAGGGAAGTCACAGGTTTATAATTATGCTAAATAGTCAAATTATATTTAAAGATAAGTTGAAAATAAGGTCCCATGTGTCTTAACTCCTTCAGTTCCTTCATGAGTCTCCAGAAAAGCATAAATAAGACATCACATATTCATATTACATATTATTATATTCTAAATATAAGGCTCACTCTGCCACTTATTATACATCAAGCAGTGAAGTAGCAAGAATAGGTTTGGCCATCTTTGAGATCCATAGGTTAAAGGAGAGGAGCGGGTACCAAAGTTTAAAGGGAATGGCTCAAAGGCCACTTCTACTATTGCTGCTCAGACTCAAGGAAACACCACCAGACCACTGTCCTTTAACAGAGTAACAGAGGCTAGAGCTTTAGGTTTAAAAAAGAGTTGAAGACAAATTCAATATAGTACTCAAGTATTTAAAACCCTTCAATGTATTTTCTAACATATCTCTAAAACATTTCATTCTTTGATAAAATTATAAATTGCTCCTTTGCATTTTTCTGGAAAAAGAGGTCTGGCTTTTATTATTTTATCAAAGGATTCTGAGACCTTTCCCTCCTCTCTAAAAAAACAACTTCACTTTTGTAGCAACAACCTTTGAAAACAATATTCAAAAACATTTTCTCCAGTTGAAAAACATTTGGTCATGTCTCTAGGGCTCCATTATTTTAGATCACTGCTATTTCATTAAGAGATTTCTTTTATATACTCAATTATGAAATTATTACTTAATTTCATGTTTGCCTCCCAGGAAAAGCTGGTCATTAAAGATACTTGAGAAGATCTGCTGCTTCAACCACAGGCTTTCCGTAATTGACATGGGCCCTATTTTCTGTTGGAGTATTTAAGAAATAGTGTTTGAGGGGCTTCTTATTAGGTAAAGACAGCCTGGCCTGTGTAGCTCAGTAGTTGAGCATCGAGCCAGGAACCAAGAGGCCACTGATTCAATTCCCAATCAGAGCACATGCCCAGGTTGCAGGCTCAATTCCCTGTGCGGGGTATGCAGGAGGCAGACAATCAATGATGTTCCTTTCTCATCATGGATGTTTCTATCTCTTTATCCCTCTCCCTTCCTCTCTCTCTAAAAAATCAATAAAATATATTTAAAAAATAATAAAGACTAATTGTAGTCTTTATCTTCCTTCCATGCTTGAATTGTCAAATCATTCTCTTTAACCCACTCTTTTATAAGCATTACTAGTCTAAACATAAAATTCTTTGGCAAAATGTGGAGAACATCCTGAAATGCTCCAGTTATCTGATGTTTACCTTCGTACTCAGCTTTAATTCTCAGCGTTTCATCTGGTCCTTTATGGGCAGAGGTCACCCGAAGTTCACATGGAATGCCAAAATATCCACAAGCCTTCTTGATTTTTTCACAGTGACCAAGATCAGAAGTTGAGCCCATTAATACTACAACCCTGCACTGACTTTCTGATTTCAGAAGCAACTGGAAGAAAAAAACATGCGTAGCAAAGAAGATAAGGACAAAAATGGATAAGTATTGGAACGAGTTAATTTGCAGAGCTACAGTTTATACTAAAAATACATCTGAACAGAGTATTTTATTTTTTAATAGGCCAAATTTAAGATAAGCAGAACAAAATGTAAGAGAATTTACTTTTCAAAATAACTTCTATAAAGAGTTCTTCATAATTAAAACCAAAAGAGTATGATTTCTTAATCAAGCTGTTAATTATAATAAGCAATGGATAAATATTCAACTTCTAACTAATGTTCAGAAAACTATAAATATATTTTATCCTAAGATTTTTAGTACAGTCTGTTTAATGGAGGTTTTAAGGCATAATCAGCCAAAACACAGAGGTTGTTTTATAAATCTTTAAGTTAGTCACAAGGAATCCAAATGCATATTCCCATGGAAATGATGATCTGAAAGATAGTTATGACAATTGGATAACCACAAATCCTATTCAATTCCCATGGAATCACAGTAATGACAATACCATAGCTCTTAAGGTGACATTTTAATGTCACAAGGAACTCTAATTCTGAACTCTGATAATGGAACCCATGCTAATGGAACTCTGAGTAGCAGTAGAGAGGTTATTAAGAAATGCAAGACTTCTATTGCAGGGGCCGGAGGAAACAAGGATTCTAGATTTCCTCAACTGGATTTGGGAGAAGTGTAATGGAAACTTAATAGCAGGGGATCCAGGGATCCAGTTATTTTGAAGTAAGATGTTCTTAGAGAAAAACACATAATATAGTGTGCATTTACAACAAAAGGTTTACCTCTACTCTTTCAGCAACCCACTCAAAATTTTTCTTTACCATCTGGAGCCCTTCAGGAGTTACTTCCTTGAGGTCACGATATGACTAGAAAATAAAGACAGAAAGTTGAGGCTGCAAGTATTCTAATTAGTAATATTCTTGCTATCTGAAATTATTTGGTTTCTGAGTTTTGGGTACAGATTATGAAGAGTTTGCCTAGCAAAGGGTATATCTGAAAATGTATTTGAGTTTATGAATTCATTTCTTGAATTAGACTAAAAATAATTTAGTGAAGTACACTTAAACTACAATTAACTGCCATGACAATTCTCATATAAAGTGAATCTTGCCCTATGTTTTTTTCAGAAAGAATACAAGTAGAACCTGGTAAGATCCAGAAGACTTGGGATAGAGTTCCAGATCTGCCACTTATTGCTGTAATTGTGAAGACATCTATCTTTCAAAATCTTAGTTTTCAAGTAATCAAACAAAGATAATACTTGCTGTGTGAGTCTATTACAATAATGAGAAATCTGCATTGTAAATGTAAGGTATTATTCCTTTTTCCCCAAGATATAGGAAATATGATATTTAGCCTTAAATAAATAGCAATCAACACAGGTTCAAATCATAATCCTATATAATAAAGAGCTAATATGCAAATGGTCGTCGTGCCTGGTGCTGGGCTGGGGGATGCAGCTGTACCCCCAACCCAGGAGGGCTTGATGGGGGTGGGGCCGGCCAGGTCTGGGTCTCATGTGATTTAGAGGCACGCATGCGCGGTTGGCGGGGACTTGACTCAGGGTCCCACAGCATGCCCCAGACTCTTACAGGAGGGAGATTTTCATATACATTTTACTAATTTTCTTTCATCTCTGACACTTCTATTATAGAGAAAGGGCAAATAACAATATTAAAATATTTCCTCTAATTAATTCTCTTTTAATGTGCATGAATTTTGTGCACCAGGTCACTAGTCTATAATAAAAGTGTAATATGCTAATTAGACCAGACAGCCAAGCAACCTCCCGGACATCATTCTGGGTGTACTTCCCAACAAAGCCGTGGTGGTGGGGGCCGAGGCAGAGGTGGTTAGGGGCGATGAGGCAGGCAGGCAGGCAGAGTGGTTAGGAGAGATGAGGCAGGCAGAGTGGTTAGGGGCAATCAGGTAGGCCAGCGGTTAGGAGCCAGCGGTCCCGGATTGCAAGAGGGCTCTCTGCGGGATCGGGCCTAAACCAGCAGTTGGACATCCTCTGAGCGGCCCTGGATTGAGAGAGGGTGCATGAGGGACCCTCTGAGGGACACACCCTCTGCCCCCCCCCCACCCTCACCCCACTGCCCTCTGCCCCCCCCCCCCCCTCACCCCACTGTGAACCAGGCCTCTAGTAAATAATAACTGCCTTTCTTGCCTCCCACTTTTCCTTTCTCCTCTACCAGAGCCTGATCCTGCAATGAATAAAAAATAACAACAACCCTGAAGAATCACTTACCTGTTTGTCTTTCTGTTGGCTTCGATCTCCTGATGGCCAGAGTCTCCAGGAATCATTATCAATAACATCAGCAAGAACAATTTCTTTGGTGGTGACATCAACACCAAATTCAATCTAGAAACAGCAGATCACCAAAGAAAAGTTTCTCAAAACTATACTACTAAAGACATTTTTCAGTTGTAATTTTTTATTTTCAAACCTCCATTTTATTTGTACCTTCATATCAACCAGTGTACAGTCCTGGGGCAACCAGGATTTCTCCAGTATTTCAAAAATAGCCTGTGTAGCATGATTCATGATATCCACTTCAGTCTGGCCTATAACAAGTCCAGCAAAGCAAAATTTTGCAGCAATGAGTTGTTCCTCAGACCACTGTGGATCATTATTGGCATCATCCTGAAAATAAAGTATAGGATCACAATCTATAATAAAAGGATAATATGCTAATTAGACCGGACGTCCTTCCTGACAAAGCCAGGTCCCGGGTGCTGGAGGGACCAGCCTGGGTCCTGGAGGGAAGCTGGTGCCAGCAGCTGGGGAAGGAAGGCCTACTCTTGCACGAATTTTCATGCATCGGGCCTCTAGTTTAAATATAAGATATTTGAACTTTTCTAATAATCTGAAGTCCTTTTCCCCTTGAGCATGAATCCTCAGAAATATCCCTCTAAAAAATTTCCTCTAAAGATTAAACTTTATTTAAAATACCCTTTAATCCACAGCAAATATATTCAGCTGGTCCTACTTTCAACAGATACTTTAAAACTTAAAATATTTGGGTAACATTCTAATTATAAAGTATTGAAAGAATTTGGCCTCTCTCTAGAAACTAACTTAAACACAAGTATGGAAAGAAAAAAGCAGTTTCAATAAAGAAAACCAATACAAATCCATAACCACGGGCTCCTACTTCCTCTATTGTATGTTTTTGCTTATAAGAGACATTGATGATAGTTTTTCTGTATCTATAATAATAAAAGCATAATATGCTAATTAGACTGGACTAAGCTGGGGCTGCGAGGGCCGAGCCCCTTGCATGAATTTTGTGCATCGGGCCTCTAATTAGAATATAAAAGACCCCTCATAGTAGCCTTTACTTCAAATTCTTCAACAGTAAATTAAAATTTTTTTGAACTGTTACTTTTCTTCCTAGTAATTGCTAATTTTATTTTGTTAGTCACCTTGGTAGAAAGTAAGATAGGTTTTCAAAGGTGTTTCCTTTTTAAAAGCTTAATTATGATTGCTAATGGAAGTATACATTATTGACATGTTTCTGGAGTGACAACTGTAATGTAAAAAATTTTTTTAATTGTTTTTTTTGAGAGGGAAAGGGATAGAGAGATGAAAACATAAATGAGAGAGAAACATCATCGATTTAATGTTTAAATGTTTGACTTTAAGTTTGTAGTTGTGTTATAGTAAGACAGATGCATAAAATAAATACCTTAAAAAACATCTCCACTTTAGGAGGGTAAAATCTGTACCCTTCTTTGACACCAGGATTTCTTTTGAGAAAAGAACCAGTTGCTATTCTTCTACAAACCCATTCGATTGGAATCATTTCACACTTAGGTGCAATGAAAGCGGTCTCCCCACATTTTCTGGTGAAAGCAGTTTTGATACCTATATATGAATAACAAAAAGTAAAAAAAACCACACCATTAAAATGTATTTTAAAAAGTAGACCTGAGGCATAATAAAACTCTATCCTTACAAAAAATTCTATTTAGCTAATTACATTTCTCTTAAATGACACTATCAAAAATAAATGTAATTTTTAAAAAGTAGAAATAGGAAAAATTAATATGTCCTACTACTACTTATCAAAATACTCAGGGTTTATTTCACTTTCATGTCACATGGCAAAATATATACTGGAGCATAAGATCTGAGTCGCAGTGTCTTTATCATTCATTAGTTTTTTTCATTCAAAAAATACTTATTGAGAACATCCTCTGCCAATGAGTATTTGACTTTGCACAAGGCACATAACTTATCTAAGTGGGACTTAATCATTAGATTTAGTTGCAGAATTCTCGTGTTCTGTGGTCCATTATTATACAGGCCTTGTAAAATATCTATCTACTTAGCACAATCAGCTATAACCTTAAATTTTGGATAGCTTTTTTCTCTTAACATTAGAAGCAAATTATCTTTAAAAAAACCACCCAACAATTAGCAGCAGGGAATTAATGGCCAATTTGGCCAACAGCAAATAAAATAGTTGTTCTTCCTCTCCTTCTCTCTTATTCAAACTATTATTAGAAAACTAAAATAAAAAGCTGACTTGTGATGTTTAAAATGAGAACTATTTTATATGGTAGTCTTGGAAAATAACCTCTCTAAAAACAGTTATGTTTATCACAAACCATATCAGCATTCCATTTCTAGGATTTCTAGGTATTAACATTACAGCCTGAAGATGAACGTTATGTTAATGTCATGTAGGAGATACTTTAACCTTTTGTGGTCATTTGTCTACTCTCAGCCACCAAAGCTTTTTTACCGTTCCGGTCGTATGTCTGCTCTCAGCCACCACAGCAAGGAACCGTACGAATCTTAACTCTATTCATTCATGTATCAGTTCATAATTTCTCTGAAAGCTCTAAAGTGTCTAAGCGACCTTGTCACAAACTAAAACATTGCCCCAACAAATCAGAGATATCGAAACTCAATATAACAAACGCAGACGTTCCACACTCGCCATGCAAAACACCGTGGCGAGTCAGTCGCCTTTTGAGAGTGACGAAATCGAC